TGAAGCTATGTGTCTGGCGTGACGTGAGTATGATATGAGGACATGTCTTTTTTAAAAAAAAAGTATAACACAATTCGGACTTCCGTGAATATCTGGAACTCATCTTCCTGCAGTTATTAAAAATAGAATAGATCAGTCAAAGAATTCAGGAAATATAGAAAATATACTTACCGAAATATGGAGGCAGCGGTTGCCGATTAAAATGTCAAAGTGCTATTTATGCGGCCGTCCAAACTGTTTCACCATTATCCACCATATAAGATGTGAAGTTATTAACCAGCATAAAGTATTATATCCACATTAATTATAAAATAAGCTCAAAGCTGCTATTAAAATAAGAGAACCATTTTCAGAATAAATTCTGAAAGCCAAACAAATCGAATTTCTGATAACCATCAATCCACTTTAACATCCAAAATGTTTGCTTAAAGATATATAGAAAAGTAAAAAGAAAATGGAAAAAAAAACAGTGGCTCAAACTCGCCTTAATTCCATCCAAAGGTAGATCTACCCAAATGTTTTCTACGAATGGCACAAGGAGGCAGCAATTACACTCAAAAGCATAAGCCATCTAAGCTGCTCTGCCATTGCATGTGAAAAGAAAAGATCAATCTTTAACCTATCAATGTATGTTTGTCAATTATACATTTCTTAAACCAAAAGCCAAGCTTAATTGGATCCCAACCCATTCCCGTTGATTTCATTTTCAGTTTTTTTCCATAGTTACTAATCTTTCTTTAACTGATCTCACTTGTTCTTCAATTTCATGCGATTGTAATCGCTTCCGGTCAATTCCTTGAATTTAACCATAACATTTTGCCACACTTCTTTGTTAAAAAAAGTCGTGGGCCTATTTCTCACTTCAACCTCCCTCGTATATAGGTCACAAAATATAATAGTTACCTCTATATCCCACATGACTAATGATCCAGCCTCTTTAGTTTTATTCATTAAATTCTGTTTGCCAGTTATGACACAATTAAAAATTTAAACTAGAAATGAATTATATCTTTGAAATATAAAAAAAAAACAAGCATGCAAATCTAATAATCATAACAACATCAAACTTATAAAATATCAAAAGACCTAAATATGGCCCTTTCGTTCTACGATTAGGATAGCCTAGGAATTCCCTCTACTAAAGCATGGAAACTCATATTACAACATTGTTAATGGGACCCAAAAGACTTCCATGGACAGCAACACAGCTAATGAAGTAGTGCACTAAAAAACAATGCACTATTGAATACAAATCAGTCGATATCACCATTCTAATCATGCAATGGTTAAAAAAAACATGGTCTTCTTACTGCGGTTCATCCAATTTCCACACAAAGCTTCATATCGTTGTTTGTTTATCACAGAATTATACTACCTTCATGTCTTCATGTAAAACATTACTTAGAAACATTAATTAGAAGAGAAAGTAACATGCCCATGAAAACAGTAAAAGAAAAAATGCTACAACTCAAATGCACTCATTTTCAACAATATCAAAGTTATCAAAAATCACGGCATATGACCACAGAACCCAAAATCCCATTTTAAGAGCTCTCTACCCAAGCTACTCCTTAAATAACACAAGTTCCAAACCTCACCCAGGATTTTTCAAAGTTCAAACATCCAGACAATCTGAAGAAGAAGAGAGAAACCCAAAGCACGATCCTTGAAGAATGACTCGGATACGATAAAAATAAGATGTGTGATATACCTATAGAGCGAAAACCCAAAGAAGAAGATGGTGAAGGAGTCAAATGCCGAAGCAGCAGAGGGAAAGCGAACCAGATCCGTGTAGGAGGAGCGTTTAGGGCTAGAAATTCTCCACCGGAGGCATCATGGGCGAATAGGGTCACAGAATCGAAAGCGAGGAGCGAATAGGGTCACGGGATCGAATAGGGTTAGGATCGAAGGGCCAGATACATAAATTTTCATTTACAAAAAGTGAACCGCATGGGCCATCCCACGGTCCGCGTCATTCACAAATACCAAAACACCGGTTTGAATAATCTCGCAATAAGCGCTAACCAAACGTGACAGCGGCGTTTTCAAAACGCCACCCGCACTTTTAAGCTACCCCAAACAGACCCTTATCCAATTTGATAAGTGCTAGAAAATAGTGGCTGAAGGATGGAAATTATCGTCTTAGTATAAGACTGCAAAACACAATCAAATAAATAAAAATAATATATAGAAATTCTAAAAAGTTTTTATGTGGAAAATACTGAAAGAGAAAAAACATGGGGTTGTGTCTAGTTTAAAAGTTTCACTATAAGTTGGTGATTACAGATACAACCTCTTATTTTATACAATTTCTCAAGATACAACATTTGTGTGCAGAAGAACTCACTGCTTCATGGTAGGGAGCAGTCATAGTGGGGAGTAATTGCTAGAGTTTCGATATTACCGTTTTTTGAGATCGGTATGACATTTTGGATGATGCATTGTCTCGTAGGTTATTACATGATTCTATAATGTCAGTTGTTGTTTCACATGGTGTCTTGTTGTAGGGATCAGGTGGCAATAGATTGTGGCAGGCAGTGATCGATGTTGTTCGACGGCGACCGCAAGCAGTGGTCGATGAGGTTGATGGTTGTTGGTGCTGGAAGTATTATTCGAATCGTCAGTGCATAATTTCGGACTTCAGATTTTGCTTCTACAGGTTCTTGTCTTCCTTTAGCTCAGCATCTAGTCCCCTCTCCAGAAAGAGGTAGGGCTCTATTTAAAAATTTCAAAGTGCAAATAAGAAAGAAATCTAGACCACTTTGATCAGACGACCTGGGGAGATTCTCTTGATTAGTCGGCATTCTGTGAACATTTAACTATCAAAATGATGTTGGAATTGAGTAATCTTAGGCTTTGTTGTTTTATCTTGTCAAGATACTCAATCTGACTATAAGCATGTCAGACTTGAAATTTGTTTGACTTCCAATTATGCATTGAAAGCATTTAAAAGTGGTTTAACGACTTGATCTGGACTTGATTTGACTAACTGGACCAATTTTGGTATAATTAGGTCCATCTCATTGAGCTGAGCAGTTTAGCTGTAAGTTTGCTTAAATTGAACTCTTTGATGACATTTAAACAAAGTTTGAACATTTTTTTGTTCGAAAATTGCCTCAAAATTCAAGTCACATCTCGAGATTCATGGTGAATGATGAAAATTTATTGATAGTGTGTCAATTGTCCTCCTATTTTCAGTCTCACTATCAAAAACATTGAAAATAAATCAATTTTTTTTGAAATGTTTCTTCTTCTCACTATTTTTTTTACAAATTGAATCATGCCAATTTATAATCAAGCATATTAGAAAATCAAATGTCATCTCACTTATAGTTTTATGTGTGTGTGTGTGTGTTGTTGTTGTTGAATCTTGATTTGTCTACGAATCATCCAAAGAATGTAAGACATGAGAGAGAGGAATGCACAATAATGAACAGAAAATTGAATTTTTCATTAGCTCTTTGCTCAGAAAATGTTCCTCTATTCATATATGAGGGGGTATAATATGTGTAATTATATGCTTGCCCTCACATTCTTAGGGGCAGCACAAGGTATTTTATAATTTTAAGCCTAAGGCTCGGATACTCCATTACTCGGTCGACTGAGATCATAAGACCTTGAGTCGCTTGTCTGACTTTATTGAATTGGGGTTGTCGGCCAGCTTCTATCTTGAAGGAGTGAATCATCGTAATCAATCCCTTGTTGAGGACCCCCTGTCGGCAGAATGAGAATAAGTTATCGGGTAGCGGCAAATCACCATAATACAATAGTTAGCTCACCCCTTGACAAAAATTCTATAGGATGCTCTTGGAGTATTTCATGGTTGATCCCTAGCCTCCTGATGAAGAGTCTCGGAAGCATTTCTATGATGGCCAATGATGCTGAACTTTTCCCTTGAATCAGATTGAGGCAAGATTCATATTGATGCCATCTCTTAGCCTAATTGACCTGGATTTCTAGTTCGAACGACCAACATCTACATGGCTTCATTCTCCAATTTAGGGGGATTGTACCTAGTTAGATAGGTCACTTGGTCTTATGTTAATGGATCGTATGGTCTTTTGTCAGTGGCCCCTCTAAGTTGTACTTCTTTGTCCCTTAATTTTTTTTTCTCCTT